AATAGGAAAATGCCCAAATTTTCATAAGGAAGATAAGGAGAAATCCAGGAACTGCTAAGTTTCCTGCCAACTCTGTGTGTATGTAAATGGCTGGGAGCTAGTTGGTTGGAATTTCCTGTACAGTCCCTGTTCCCTGGGGATGGCTAGGTGGTTAGAATGCCCTTGGGCTCAGCAGTTTGCATGTTGTTTATCAAGGGTTAGGAACAGTGTATTACCTTGCATGTGATACGTAGATAAGATCTGAGAGAAGCCTTTTGAGGGTTTTAATTAAATTCACATTTAGTGGCTTCTTGCTGAATGTTCATGGTTTCATTAATTGTTCAAACTATCAACAGAAGCATGAGGGTTTAAGTACCCCCCCCACCTGCTTTATTGGGGTATTAAAAGTTGACGAAAATGTAATATATTTAAAGTGTAGAATGTGATGATTTGATATACATATATATTATACACATATACATATGTACCATAATCAAGTTAGTTAACACATCCATCACATCACGGTTACCTTTTTTTTTTTTTTCCTTGGGTGGGAATGCTTAAGATCTGCTCCCTTAGCTATTTTCAAATATATAAAACAGTATTATTAACTCTAGTCACCATGCCTTACATCAGATGCTCAGAACTTGTTCATCTTCTATAACTGAAAGCTTGTACCCTTTGACCAACATCTCCCACTTCCCCCAGCCCCTAGCCCCTGTCAGCCACCATGCCATTCTGTGTTTCTATGAGGTCAACCTGTTTGTTTGCTTAGATTCCACCTGTGAGATCATACAGTATATGACTTTATCTGGCTTATTTCACTTAGCATAATGCCCTCCAGGTTCATCCATGTTGTTGCCAATGGCAGGATTTTCTTTCTTTTTTACGGCAGAATAATATTCCTATATATATTTACATAATATCATATATAATACAAAAATATATAATATAGTAGGTATATTATAGATGATATATTTATATGATATATACATTATATAAATATATCTTTTCTTTACCATTCAGCTGTCGATGGACACTTAGATTGCTTCTATATCTTGCCTATTGTGAATAATGCTATAATGAACATGAAGAACAGATAATCTCTTCTAGATAGTGAATTCATTTCCCTAGGATAAATACCCAGAAGTGGGGAGGGCTGGATCATATTGTAGTTCTATTTTTAATTTTTTTAATGTTTATTTTTTGAGAGAGAGAAAGAGAGACAGCAAGCACAAGCAAGGGAGGGGCAGACAGAGAGGGAGGCACAGAATCTGAAGCAGGCTCCAGGCTCTGAGCTGTCAGCACAGAGCCCAATCCAATGCAGGGCTCACACCCACAAACTGTGAGATCATGACCTGAGCTGAAGTCGGACACTCAACCGACTGAGCCACCCAGGCGCCCCAGTTCTATTTTTAATTTTTGAGGAGCCCCCATCCTGTTTTCCATAATGGCTGCACCAATTTACATTCCCACCAACAGTGCACGAGGGTTCCCTTTTCTCCACACCCTCCCCAACACTTGTTACCTCTTTTCTTTATGATAATAGACATCTTACCAGATGTGAGGTGATACCTGATTTGCATCTCCCTGATGATAAGTGATGTTGAGCATCTTTCACAGAGCTGTTGGCCATTTGTAGGTCTTCTTTGGAAAAATGTCTCTCTGGATCCTTTGCCCATTTTTAAACCAGATTATTTGGTTTTGGTTTTGCTATTAAGTGTTCCTTATATATTTTGGATATTAATCCCTTATTGGATATACAGTTTACAAATATTTTCTTCCATTCCATAGGCTGCCTTTTCACTTTGCTTCCTTTGCTGTCCAGAAGCACGTTAGGTTTTTGTTTTTGTTTTTGTTTTTGTTTTTTGGTTGTTGTTTTTGCTTTTGTTGTCTGTGCTTTTGGTGTCAGATCCAAAAAATCATTACCAAGACCAATGTCAAGGAGCTTTTTCCTCTGTTTCCTTCTAGGAGTGTTAAAGTTTCAGGCCTTACACTTGAGTCTTTAATCCATTCTGAGTTGATGTGTGTGTGTGTGGTGTAAGATAAGCATCCATTTCATTCCTTTCCTGTGGCCATCCAGTTTTCCCAACACCATTTGGTGAAGAGACTATCCTTTCCCCATTGAGTAGTTTTGGTGCTTTCCTTGAAAATTCGTTGACCATATGTGTGTGGATTTAAGATTTTCTCAATGCATTTCCTGCTGAAGAAAGAGGCGAGTGTGATTAGGTAATAAGAAGAATCATGTTTAACACTCATTTGGTAGTAAAGCAAAGCCAGTAGAGTTTTTCCTGCTCTGCAGGTACTGGGCTAGGCCCCTTGTCTCTCGTGCCTTTAACAGAAGTAGTGGAGATGGAGAGGATTTCCATTTAAAGTGTAGAGGCACCACCTAGAGTGCTTCTGTGGGCTGTCCTGGGCCACTGTTGGCACGTTTCCTATTGTTTACCCAGGCTGGCTCCAAACACCTGAATGTTCTCCACGTGCAGTTACCAGACACTGCAGCCGTTTTCTGCAGCCTGTGGTTTTCTTGGTAGGGAGCTTATGACTCTCTTCCTCTCCCTCAAGACTCTTTCCCCTGAGTAGGGCTGTAGAGTGAAACCACTTTGCTGGGAAGCAAACAGGGAAGCAGGCTTACAGCCTAGAACAGCCTCTGGGTTTTGTCTGGGCACGTGGGAAGGCAGAAAACCTCCTGAAAAAGTCCCTGACCCTTCCAAGTGTGGTGGGGACCCCAAGAAGCCTCGCAGATGCACACAAGGGTAGTCACAGCCAACCCAGACCTCCCATCAGCATAATCTTGAAATCATGTCAGAATTCGAGGTGTTGGGAGGGTCTCCAAGACCGTGGCCCAACCCTCCGTGGGGAGAACCCCAGGAATGAGCTTGATTTCCTATCAGCTGGGAGGAAGAGAACCTTAAAATGAAGTCGAATTATAGATAATACTTATTGGACACTGCCTGTCCCAAATGCAGTGGCTAAATGTCCGGAGCCTCTCACGGCCAAGAGGAGTGAACTCTGTTGGCAGCCTGCACCCTGAACATACCCCAAAACATGCTACAGGGGCTCAGAGCTGAGAAGGAGAACAATGTAAGCTCAGGCTTTTCTCCAAGCAAACCCAGAGCATTGCCAGAACACTAGCAGCAGATCCAGGTCTTGTGGGGCCTGGAGCTTAGAAATTCGTGGCTGTCTTGGGACGCCGGGGTGACTCAGTTGATTAAGCGTCTGACTTCAACTCAGGTCATGATCTCATGGTCCATAATTTCTAGCCCCATGTTGGGCTCTATGCTGACAGCTCAGAGCCTGGAGCCTGCTTCAGATTCTGTGTCTCCCTCCTCTCTACCCCTCCCCTGCTCGTGCTCTGTCTCTCTCTGTCTCTCAAAAATGAATAGACGTTAAAAAAAAAAAAAAAAAGAAATTTGTGACCATCTTTAAAGGATCACAAAGTATAAGCTACCAGCTATAAAATAAATAGGTCATACAGATGTAATGTACAGCATGGTGGCTACAGCTAATATTGCTGTGCCGCAAATTTGAAAGTTCCTGAGAGTAGATCTTAAAAGTTCTCATCACAAGAAAAAACAACTTGTAACTATGTATGATGATGGATGTTACCTAGACTTAGATCACTTAGTGGTGATCATTCCATACTATATACAAGTATCGAATCATTGTATTGTACTCCTGAAACTAATATAATGTTATATGTCAGTTATACCTCAAACAGTGAAAAAAAGACCACAAAATTACAAGTATAAAAATAGGAACAAAGCAAATATTTAAAGGCACCTGGGTGCCCCAGTCAGTTGAGCATCAGACTCTTGATTTTGACTCAGGTCTGATCCCAGGGTCATGGGATTGAGCCCTGCGTCGGGCTCCGTGCTGACAGCGTGGATGGGGTTCTCTCTCTCCTTCCTTCTCTGCTCCTGCCCCCTTCTCTGTCTCTCAAAATAAATAAGTAAACTTTAAAAAAAAGATTCTCTCTCCATCTGTCCCTCCCCCACTCTAAAATAAAATTAAAAAAAAATTAAAAAGCAAATATTTCAATTAGTTATTTAGAAAAAGAAAAGAAATCCCATATTGCTAACTTAAAAAAAAAAAAAGGTTTACTTATTTTGAGAGAGAGAGAGAGAACGCACGCGAGGCATGAGTAAGGGAGGGGCAGAGAGAGAGAGGAAGAGAGAGAATACCAGGTGGACTCCATGCTGTCAGTGCAGAGACCAATTTGGGGCTCGATCTCACAAACCATGAGATCATGATCTGAGCCGAAACCGAGAGTCTGACGCTTAACCCACTGAGCCACCCAGGCGCTCTGACAGTTGTTTCTATTATCGGTGGTTGGAATGTATAAAATATGCAACTTCACAGACATTCTTGCTGTTTTTAATTATTGCCACTAGTTTGTGGCCTACAAACATAAGAATTCTGGTAAATTCAAGTGTGTGTGTTGCCATCTAATTTTTTAATTTAAAAAGTATACATTTTATTAATGTAGAGAATAGTGAAAAAACAGGATTTTAATTCTTCGCATCTTTGGGACATTAAGAGCAAGTAGCAAATTACTGTCTCCCTTGGGCTTACGCGGAAGAAACAAAGTCGTGTTGGTATCTTTTAAATGTTTTTATGGGAAAAGTGTGTTTTCATGTAACTTTATATGAAAATCTTATAATTTTTCTGGCTTAAACTGCATTGATGTAGGTGGCATAAGGGAGTGTGACTCTGGCTTTTTCTTTTCTTATTTAGGTTTTTGGAAAATCCTCAGCCAGCAACCACTTGGTTTTAAAACCTTTTGATCAAAAAATCAAATCGTATTGTCAGAGAAATTAGCCATTTGTCATTTTTTTTTTAAATTTTTTAAATTTTTTTTTTTTTTTTGAAGGAGAGAGAGACAGAGCATGAGCAGGGGAGGAGCAGAGAGAGAGGGAGACACAGAATTCGAAGCAGACTCCAGGCCCTGAGCTGTCAGCACAGAGCCCCATGCGGGGCTTGAACCCACGAACCATGAGATCATGACCTGAGCCGAAGTCGGACGCTCAACCGACAGAGCCGCCCAGGCGCCCCAGCCATTTGTCATTTTTAAGATGAACGATTTGAGTGACAGGAGATTCTTTCGGAAACTCACAGGGGGGCCAAAGTGAGACCTCAGCATCAGGTAAGTGCTCACCTGCCTGCTGTGGGTACTGACTGGGCTACCCACATTGGCTGGCCGGTCTGGCTTCTTTTTCTTTTCCTTCTCACTCTGGGTTCTGTGTTTTTATCCTACAGGAGGTTTCTTCTTGGGGGATATTCATGCTCTTGCTCTATTCTGCCAAAAGGAGATCTAAACAAGAGACGTTGGATACTCCTGAGGTTGGATGATGAATGTATAATGACTAAGACGTGGAGGCTAGAACACAGGCCTGTAGCAAGACTCTTGTTTTGATATCCCATTCACGCAGTTTAGTGAGTTCTGTGTGTTTTTAAATTGCGAGCACGTGTCTTGGTTGAACTTGGGTTGAATGTGATGTTTCACCAAATATCCTACTCTCGGGGAGCCTGGCTGGCTCAGTCGGTACAGCATATGAGTCTTGATCTTGGGGTCATGAGTTTAAGGCCCATGTTGGGTGTAGAGCATGCTTTAAAAATATATACCCTATTCCCAAGTTCTTTTCTAAGGTATGGCATGTTTATAATGAAAATGCTATGTTATCTAGCATATTCCTAACAGAATACTAACCAGGCATTGTTGAAAACTGAATCCTCCATTTAAAATTGTACATGCCAGGGATGCATGTGGGTGGCTGAGTCGGGTAAGCATCCAACTCTTGACTTTCACTCCGGTCGTGATCTCACGGTCGTGAGAGTGAGCCCCATGTTGGCTTCTACAGTGGGCATAGAGCCTGCTTGCGGTTCTCTCTCTTCCTCTCCCTCTGCCTCTCCCCCACTCACAGGTACTCTCTCTCTCTCTGTCTCCCTCTCTCTCTCTCTCAAAAAAAAAAAAAAAATATATATATATATATGCCTGAAGCTTAGAAGAAACTTCCTGCACACTAGCTGCTGACACCTTACTTTTGAAACTTGGTTTCTCCTCTGTGACTCATATCCTTCCAGTGCCCGCCATCAGAGAACATGCTCACATCACCACGGGACACCTGGTCCTGTACTTCCGTGTCAGGATGCTGGGCAAAGCAGTGGCTAGCCATAGAAGTATCTCCAGCAGCTATTCCTAAACCTGAACGCTGGCAAGAACTGAACTGCACACAGAAGAGACTGCAATCACACAAATGTATCCCACTACACCAAACGAAGCGTATTCCAGCTTAACTTCACCTACTGAGTCCCCGAAATGCCGGCATCCACGCCTTATGGGAGGGGAAGGTGGCGTGGAGCGACACAGTGATCTTAACCGTTTGTGGTGAAGTCCTCTTACTTTTGCAAATTCCACAAAAACACCCGACCCTGTGAAATCACTGTCAAAGGCTTCATCCATTGGAAAGAGCCAATGCACCTGATAGGGCCTGAAGCTTAAGCTTTCTTACCATCACCGTAAATCTGCTTCTCAGAACAGGAAAGGGACTCAAAGGCTAATGCTGTCCAAAGGTTAATTCTTGTGTAGATGGAGCCACCACTCCTTAATCCAGCGGGGTGCGATGGTTACACATTTAGTCATCTGAACGCAGAACAAGCCGACTCTGGAAAGTCACTTCTGAACTAACAGTTATTTACCGTGCGCCCCCTTGCCTAGGCACCGTGCCGAGCCAGAGAGAGTGGATCCCGGCTCCTGAAGGCGTCGTTGTTGGTAAAGTGGGTCTCTGTACCCTGCGTCATGCACCACATGTGAGAAATGAACAGTTTAATGGCACACTAACGGAGGCAGAAGTTCCTTCAGATTAGAGGGAGCGGTAGGGACAGGGAGGCAGAATGGTGGGGGAAGGTAGGAGGCAGTGATGCCCAAGCAGAGTTTAAGAATAAGGAGGGGCGGGGCACCTGGGTGACTCAGCGCCTGATTCTTGGTTTCAGCTCAGGTCATGAACTCACTGTTCGTGAGTTCGAGTCCTGTGTCCGGCTCTGAGCTGACAATGTGGAACCTGCTTGGGATTCTCTCTGTCTCTCTCTGCCCCACCTCTGTCTCCCTCTCTCTCATTCTCAAAATAAATAAATAAAAATTTATAATAATAAAGAAAAAAAGAATAAGGGGGGTTTAAGTGGAGAGGACGGATAGCAATGCCCTTCTACCTTTTCTCTGGGCTGTGATAGGTCAACTCCTGTAGTGATTTCCTAAAGCCTAAAGGCAAATGGACCAACCAGGTGAGTGAAAAGTATCCAGCGGGCAGAAGGAAGATGGAGAGTGTGTGCACAGAGGCCTCACTACAGCCAGACAAAGAAGTGATGAAATCCCCAAGCCCTCCCTTTGGAAATGTCACCAGTCTCTTTGCCCACGAAGCACCCTCTGGTGGAGATACCTTGGAATCCGAACTATAGAAATGATCCCTGAAAGTATAGTCTTTGATACCTTGTAATACAAATACACTCAGACTGAGCCTCTGGAAAAAGCCCCAGGCTTTTAACCTGCACTTCTCTAAGCTCTAGTAGCTGTGTGTTTTACTTCGAAATCTTGGAAAAGAGCTAAAGTGCTAACATAGTATGTACTTTATTACGTGTAGGCACATACAGAAATTAAACATAGGAGATGCAAAAAAAATGAAAGGAGAAAAATTTAGTATTTCCCCTCCTTACCCACTAGACCATCTCGCATACTCACGTTGCATCATTTTAGACACCTCTGAACACTGGTGTTGTCAAATTGTGCTTGATAGCAGTGCGGGGTAATGGTTAAAAATGTAGACTCAGGAGCCAGCTGGCCTGGGTACGAAGCCTGGCTGCACCACTTCCTAGCTGTGTAACAACTTTAGTAGCCTCTTTTAAAGAACATGAATGATAAAAAACCAGCTCTTGGAAAAGTTCATTACTATACAACATTGAAATTAGTGCCTGGCACCCGATAAGCGGATAAGCGCTTTGTAAATGTTACTTATTATTTTTCTCAGTGTCACTATTAAAAATACCTTTAAATCTGGGGTGACTGGCTGGCTTAGTTAGTGGTACATGTGACTCTTGATCTTGGGGTCCTGAGTTCGAGCCCCATGTTCGGCATGGACCCTACTTTTAAAAATACTTTTAAATCTTTTTTTTTTTTTTTTAAATTGTCCTTTAAAAATTTAAAAATCCCAGGTGGGAGGAAAAGGCAAGAGAAGTCTGGAAGGACTTCCTGTAAAAGATGTTCCTAGTTAAATTCGAATTTTCAGAGTTTGCAGAGTGAAGATGAAGGCAACAGAAGTCAGCTCAGCCCTTTCTTAGCTGAACTATGTTATTAAAACTTCTTCATAGATGTTGGGCTTTGCTCTTATGTCTACTTGCCGTCTTTTATCCCAACCCCTGTCCAGAGACCCTTTGTTGTTTCCAGGGTTTTTGCCCCCCCCGCTTACTGTGTAGAGGAATGTTGCTTCATGGCTGATGTTTGCTCACTCTCCCTTATTTGTCCTCGGTCAACCCCACAATCAAAAAGTAAAGCCAAGTCCACTTCCCAGCCTCCCCAGCCATCAGGGGTGGCCTTGGGACCCCTTTCTGTCCCAGAGGGGTAGTGGAAGTCCATGGGGCAGATGCTTCTCTTTGCTCTGCCCTATTCTTTCTGCCTTGGTTTGCACACAGAGCCTAAAAGCGTAGTGGCCATATTGACACCTCAAGGATGAAAGGGTCACGCTAAGGCTGAGGAGGAGGCTGGTTTACTGCCGAGTTCCCTGAAGGCTACACAAGCCTTGGACTTCCTTTTATATGAAAAAATACGTATCTCCTCACCCACTGTTGAGCTGCTGTTCCTTGGAGGTTTTGTTAATTGCTGCCAAACACATTCATGTATCTGGATTGGCCATGTAGTAAGGTCAATAGAGCTGAATGAAGAAAGGCCCGTTGGAGAAGGGTAGGCCCCTGAGGGTGTCCAAACCGTGAGAAACCCAAGAACTTTGCTCAGAGTTGCAGCTACTGTGGTGCTGGTTGTTGCTGCCATCTAGTGGCAACAACTTGGAACTAAAACGCTCACCTGGGCCACGGACTGTTTTTCCGCAGATCCTTCTTCTTTCCTTCCATCATTCGTTCATTCATCCATATACTCACAAACTCACATGTTCATTCTAAAGATATTTTATGAGAATGTACTGTATGTGGCGGGTCCTCATAAATACAATAAGGAAATACAATAATGGGGGAAACCTAGCTCCTTACCCTGCCCCCCCTTGAAACTTACACACTGTGGAAAGAGAGCCATTAATTAAATCAACATGAAAAATATGACTGGAAAGGGCTCTAAGAGAAGAACATGGTGCTATGAGAATTATTGGTAGGGATTTTCCTTATTGGGGAGATGGATAGGAGGTTAGAGAAGGCTTTCCTGAGGATGTTCCGACTGGCCTTAGGAAGGGAATTTTCTGGGCAGTGAGACCCGTCATGAAAGTGAACTCAGCAAAAGGGAGGGAGTGTGTTGAGTACAGAGGAATAAGAGAGGACCATGCGTTTAAATTATTACTTGGTATTAAGCATTCTAGTGGGTTTTTTTTAATGTTTATTTCTTTTAAAAGAAAGAGAGAGAGTGCAAGTGGGTTAGAGGCAGAGAGAGAATCCCAAGAAGGCTCCGGGCTGTCAGTGCAGAGCCTGACATGGGGCTTGATCTCACGAACCATGCGATCATGACCTGAGCCAAAATCAAGAATAGGATGCTTAACCAACTGAGCCACCCAGGTGCCCTTAGGCATTCTAGTTTTTTGAATTAAGACTATGGTTGTTAATTATAATGATTATAATATAATAATGACCTGATCATAAGCTGAAAAGATACAGGCTAACAGACAACTAGAGAACACTCAACCACCAACAGCGGAACACACATTCTTCTCAAGTGCATGTGGAACATTCTCCAGGATAGACCATATACTATGTCACAAAATAAAGCCTCGATAAATCTAAAAGGCAGGCTTCAAAGTATATATATAGTATGTTCTCTGGCCACAATGGAATGCAATTACTAATGAGTTAAAGTGAGAACTTTTTATATTTAAAAATATTGTTGGGGCACCTGGGTGGCTCAGTCAGTTAAGCATCCGACTTTGGCTCAGGTCATGATCTCATGGTTTGTGAGTTTGAGCCACACATCGGGCTTTGTGCTGACAGCTCAGAGCCTGGAGCCTGTTTCAGATTCTGTGTCCCCCCCCCCCCTTCTCTGCACCTACCCTGCTCGTGCGCTCTCTCTCTCTCTCTCTCTGAAAAATAATAAAATTTAAAAATTTTTAAAAATAAAATAAAAATGTTGCTAAAATTTACTATTTGGGGGGCACCTGGGTGACTTGAGAGCGTCAACTCTTGATTCCAGCTCAGATAATGATCCCAGGGTCATGGGACTGAGCCCTGTGTTGAGCTCCATGCTGGGTGTGAAGCCTGCTTAAGATTCTCTCTCTTCATCTGCTCCTCTCCCCAGCTTGTGCTTCCTCCCTCTCTTTCTCTCTCTCTCTCAAAGAAAACAACTTGCTATTTTTGAATTTTTACAATTTTAAACATTACAAAGTCTCAAGCTCTGGGTATCATAATATAAATTATTCAAATCCCATTCCCCTAATGGAACATTCAATTACGGCATAATGTACTTTGTAATGTGACCGTGTAACTCTTTATAGAATCAAGCAAAGCTTATGAAAAAAATTCCTTACCATCTTGGGGCTTTATTTCAAACACCTTGACATAAAATAAAGGGAGTAAAAATAATAGTACGTTACCAGTGAAATAAACAAAGGTGTGCAGTCCACTCAGGAAGCTGTGAGACAAGGTCTAGGGCACTGTCACTGACACCGAGAGAAGGGGATTGTTTGGGGGAACTGTGCGGCAGGTAAAGTCCATTCAAAATGGAGGCGGCTTTGTTGTGAGTGCTGAGGGCAAGGGGAGGCATCCGTAAAAGAAAAGCCTCAGGTTTGTGACATGAGCAACTAGAGAGACTGGCAGGGGCATTTCATGAGCTAAAGAGGAGTGGGGGGAACACAGGCTGAGTTCAATTTTGGAAGTATTGAATGTGAAGTGTCTGGGAAACATCAAATATGGTGGCAGGGGGGCCGATGAGAGGAGGTAGACAGGTGTACCCATGGGAAGAAGCATTCAGTGAGGTAGGAGGAAAAGCAGTAGAACGTGTTCTTCAAAATGAAAGAGAGGGATGGCTTGATCTCTCCTCCATGCTCACAAAACACTTGAAACTGCAACTCCAATAGCACCTACCTGATGGCATCAGAGGTATTTGGGAGTGTACGTATAACTCAGAATAGAGATCCGTGGAGGGAGGTTAGCAAACAGTTGTTCAAAAATTGCAGAAGTGATGCTAACATGAATGAACAAATGAAGAGGCACCTAGGGGAAGGGAAAGGCATTCCAGGTGCAGCCGGCGAAGTGGAGAACAGAAGGAAGAGAAAAATAAGAACGTGAAGAAAATTATTCCTCTTTATTTCTAGATTCCAGGGTCTATCAAGCCATGGAGGAAAGCTCTTGTGTATACGGCCAGCCCAACACCATTTGGAACCTCCTTCCTTCATGAAAACTGACAGCCCTTAAACAACCGAATGCAGCCTCTCTTATAAGAAGCTGGTCCCTTGGTCTTCCACGTGTTGGCATCTCATCAATAAGAGGTGGTAACAAACTCATCTCCAGCTGGGGTCTCTCAGACAACAACTCTAATGGATATTTTTAATTCATATGGAAATAAATAATTCTGGCCACTTCAGGAAAAGCAGTTTGTGATAAAGTTTGCCTCCTCTCTCTCTCTCCTTTTCTGTCCAGTTAACTTCCGTGACCTACTTCTCCTTTACTAAGTAGTTATCCTCTTCTGCATTTGAACTCATGGGTTGTCTACAAGCTTGTTTACTGTCATCATTGCTGGTTGCTTTTGCTTTGTTGTCATTTAAAAATTTTTTTTTTCCTTTCAACGTTTTATTTTATTTTTGGGACAGAGAGAGACAGAGCATGAACGGGGGAGGGGCAGAGAGAGAGGGAGACACAGAATCGGAAACAGGCTCCAGGCTCTGAGCCATCAGCCCAGAGCCCGACGCGGGGCTCGAACTCACGGACCGCGAGATCGTGACCTGGCTGAAGTCGGACGCTTAACCGACTGCGCCACCCAGGCGCCCCGCTTTGTTGTCATTTTAATGAGTTCACATGGTAGAAGTGGTGGGGAAAGTGAGGTCATGTGCTTGAGGGAAGGTGGATCAAGGTGGCCATGCACAAGTGGGGCTCATTTGTAAAACTTTTTTAAAGGACCATTTCTAACTCTCAAATATTTAGTTTTCAAATTTACCCCCCCCCCAATATTTTGTTTACTTCAGATTAAAAGTAGGATATATCTGGGTCAAAGTCTGCACTACATTATCTTAATTATTGTTGCAAGGTGTTAGACTGACTTTGGAACAGAAGGAAAACCTAGAGGAAAAAACACTTTGCAAGATATGACTTTTATCACCTCCCACTACAAATAAAATGAAAGGGAGTTTCCATTTGTATGGAACCCAGAAAACAATGTTTTTGCTGCCTCGGGGATCTTCTAAAGACTTTTGTAAGATATAAAGATAACATTTGTTCATCATATACAATTTGTTACTGGAGAAAAATGTACAAAAGAAAATGGAATCTCTTATAATTATATCACATTTAGGGAATCACCGTTCATATTTTAGAGCCTGCCCTAATAAACTTTTTAAAATACATAAATAATATCATCTAAGGCATAATTGTACATTTTTCAATTTAACACTGCAAAAGGAGTAACTTCCCATGTCATTAATATTTCTTATAATCATGACCATTGTTTAATATTTCCATCTAAAGGATGTAATCATAATCCATTTAACCTTTCATCTGTACATTTAAGTAAAACAGTAAGGAGTCTTAGTTTATAATTCTTTGTTTGAATTTCTAATCATTCTACATTTATGGAATGGATTACTGCTTGAATGGGTACAAACATGTTCAAGTCTCTTGGTGATCAATCATTCTCTTAATTACTATAGTATTTGCCAAGAAATGACTGTGACCAGGAACTATATAAAATACTGGGGATATAGCAGTAATTTTCCAGCATTTCTGGCATGCCCTGGACATAGGCTAAGCCAATTCTAGTAAGCAGAGAAAGCCATTAGACAGACACCTAAGTGCTTTTAGTTAGAAGCCATTGGATTGACATATACAGGAATGGAGAGTCCCAAGGATATATGGGGCACCAAAAGGGTCTTCTACTCTGTCCCACTTAATTTTTTGTCTCCATGGAATCTTAATTTTCAACATAAAGACAAAACTGACAACAACAACTCTGATCGATACTGAATAGGTGTCAAGAAACAAGAAACTGTTTTAGTCATAGCCTTGTGCCTCCCATACAGAGAGACCTGAATTGGGAGTCTTAATGAATGTTAACCTCTCTGGGTCCCAACATCCTGGTATAGAATGGTCGGAGGTAAGTAGAATGAATAGGCCTTCTTTACAACTCTTATTTTTCACCATTTGAATTTAGGGGTAGGGGAATTACTCTTTGTCCTCATTAGCTATATCAAAGCATTTCAAGGGGCTATTAATCTACTATCTAACCAGTTCAACTTATTCCATATATCTCTTTTGAGTACCTACTCTTTACTAGCCACTGTTCAAAGCGTTTTATATATATCTATATCTATAATCATAGCAATCATCTGAGAAAGTTAACATAAATCCCAGTTCATAGGTGAAGCTTCTGGTTCTGAGAGGTGATATGATTTACTCAGATACTTCTGACTTCCAAACACTGTTTTTTTTTTTTTATACTGTAGGACAATGAGTTGGTGACGACTATCTTAAGGAAAAGGAATGAGGAAGCTATAGTTGACTCCTCACTCTCAGCAAATACCGTGGCCACTGACACTGACCTGAGAGCAGCATGAGGCTATGGAAACTATGCCTTTCTCCAAATCCAGCCCATCATTCCAAGTGCACTTCTCTCTTTGGATTCGTGAGCATAACTGAAGAGGGTGCACGAGGGTTCTAGCGGATATCGATTAATTTTAAGTTTTCGAGCCCAGAGAATTCCTTGTTTTAACTAATCTCCCGTTAAACCGAAGCAAGGCATGGTCAACCACAACAAAGATGGCGGCAGCAACGTCTCCACGGCAACGGCGACGCATTTGTCCGCAAGCGCACCAACTTTTGTTCCGGCCTGCCATTTTGACGTCACTTCCGGCTCCGGCGGGCGGTGTGCGCGCAGCTCTTACTGTTGCTGCTGCGGTGGAGATCCCGGTCCTGGTGAGTGGAGTCTGAGTGAGTCTCGCGGAGGGACTCGGAGAGAATGGGGCACCAGCAGCATGGAAAGGGAAGGTGGGAAGAACGCGGCTGTTGTCGCAGTTGTGACTGAGCCTCGGTTTACCCAGCGATACAGGGAATATCTCGAGAAGCAGAAACTCTTGGATAGACAGCACCGTGTGGCAAAGATGCCGGATGGCACCGTGGCGCTACCCGTGCTGGGCGAGGCTCTCCGTGAACAGCACCTGCGGGAGCTGAGGAATTGTGTGGCCCCAGGCAGCACCTGTATAGTAACCCAGCTCCTGCATCCTGTTCCCTCCAAGAAGGCTCAGAGTTGTTCACCTGCCCAAAGGCTGTGTCTTGAAGTGAGTCGCTGGGTAGAGGGCCGGGGAGTGACGTGGTCAGCTGAGTTGGAGGCTGATTTGCCCCGATCTTGGCAACGGCATGGTAACCTCTTGTTGCTGAGTGAAGACTGTTTCCAAGCCAAGCAGTGGAAAAATCTGGAACCAGAACTCTGGGAGACTGTTGCGTCGGCCCTTGGCGTCCGTCGTGTGGCCAAACGAGGGCGGGTATCACCAGACGGCACTCGAACACCAGCCGTGACTCTGCTGCTGGGCGACCATGGCTGGGTAGAGCATGTCGATAATGGGATCCGATATAAGTTTGACGTGACCCAGTGCATGTTCTCCTTCGGAAACATCACGGAGAAGCTTCGAGTGGCATCGCTGCCCTGTGCCAGAGAGGTGCTGGTGGATCTCTACGCAGGGATTGGCTATTTTACGTTGCCCTTCCTGGTGCATGCTGGTGCTGCCTTCGTCCACGCCTGTGAGTGGAACCCCCATGCTGTAGTTGCCCTGAGAACTAATCTTGAGATCAATGGAGTGGCAGATCGGTGCCAAATACACTTTGGGGATAACAGAAAACTGAAGCTCTCAAACATTGCAGACAGGGTGAACCTGGGGCTGATTCCCAGCTCTGAAGAAGGCTGGCCCATTGCCTGCCAGGTGCTAAAACAGGATGCTGGGGGCATTTTGCATATCCACCAAAATGTGGAATCTTTCCCAGGGAAGAATCTCCAGCCTCTTGGAAGCAGTGAAATGGAGAAGGAGCATCGGCCTTATCCTCAGCAAATTATCACCAACCAAGGGACAAATGGAGCTACCGGGGATTCTAGGAGAAAAACACTGCCAGCCGCCACCAAACCAGAGTGGCAGAGATGGGCAGAATCTGCAGAAACTCGTATTGCCACCCTTCTTCGGCAGGTGCACGGGAAACCATGGAAGACACAAATCCTGCACATCCAACCAGTGAAATCCTACGCTCCCCATGTGGACCACATAGTCTTGGATCTGGAATGCCGCCCCTGCCCTCTAGTTGGCTAGAGAAGGTGGATCCTGAGACCCAAGGATCTACATGTGAGTGAACCTTAATACGTAAGTTTAGGCTGAGTTGTCACCCCTCTTTTCTCCTGGCAACCTATTTTAATATTTTGTGGCCCTGAATGCAGGCTCTAGACCAATCCGAGTCATTGCATTTGTCTTCTGTTAACACATTGAGAATGAACTACATATCTGGGAGAAGCAGTATGGCTCATTAAAATGAGGCCGGGACATTTCTGACTTCTGACTTCAGTTCTGTCTTACCTTGGGTGGGTGATTCCAGTATTCTTTTGGCCTTGAATTTCCTCCCTTGCAAAATGAGGATTTCTTTGAATGGTCTCGTATGGCTGTTCTCTAATAAGCAGTTGTTATCTAATAAGCCTTGGTTATTTTAGAGTGAGAGACACAGTGCTGTTTCCAAAACCACTCCGGCTACAATATGGAAAATCAGCCAGAGTGGGGCCAGGATGGAAGCAGGGAGACCGGTGATGAGATTTCTGTGGTTGTCCAGGCAGGAGATGGTGGTGGCCTGGACTAGGGTGGTGGCAGTGGGAAGTGGATGGATTTGAGATATAAAATTGATGAGACTAAGCAACAGAGTCCAAATCAAAGCAATCAAACGGTGCAGCTTTGTTATTAAGACTGAATTAGGGAAGGAAAAGGATAAGAATTACTGTAGTGTATTAACTTCATTCCCTTGCTTTAGCGTTGCTAAATGAGTGTTGGGGAGGATGTCTTATGTATCAGGTTTGTTGTTGTAGAAAAGAGGTTAAGAATGACTGCTTTAAATTATAGGGAAACTAGCTTTCCAGCTTTAAGCTTGTACAAAAAGCTAGCTATTTTATTCAAGGGAGAGAGAGAGAGAGAAGAGAGAGAGAGAGAATCCTAAGCAGGTTGCATGCTCAGTACGGACTCCAGCACGGGGCTCGATCTCACAACCCTGGGAATTGGACAATCAACCTACTGAGCCACCCGGGTGCTCCTAAGCTAGCTATTTTTAAAGTTCACATTAAAATCTTAGATTTTAACAGGCCTCAGATTCCCTTTTCGTGTTCCTTCTCAGGTGGACATCAGGCCCAACGTGAGGAGCTCTAGGGAGTGAGAGATACTCTACAGGGTTTCTCAAGCGTCACTTTGTTTTGTGACTGTCTGCCAGCACCGTTGTGTGCCCCTGGAATGACTGATCGCAGAGAAGCACTGTTTACCTTTGGAATGACTAATAGTTGAGAATCACTTTTCGGAGCTGTGTTTTCGTGCACTTCGAAGCCATCTGGGCTGTTTGCCTGATGAAGGATGCACAGGGAAGTTGTGCTTTCTCAGGATTATGACTGTGTCTGGCATTCAGCTTGTTGGGCTCGAGCTGGGGCCGCTCGTCCTTCTCGGGACAGCGTCAGTAAGGACAGGATTGGTGCTGTTTATGCTTCCACGCAAATTAAATGCCTGCTGTCTATATGAGCTGCAGATGCATTCGATACAGACCCTGTCTCTGAGGAGTTCACAACCTAGCAGCAGAAATAACACAAAAACTCAGAGCTGGAATACAGTAGGTACCGTAAGAGTGCTAGCACCATGTAGAAGTGCAAAGGTGAAGAAAAGTTTTCAGAATGGGGAAGCCTTCAGAGGGGTAGTGTTTGACCCGGCTCTTAAAAACTGGGTAAGATTTTGTTAGTGAGTCAGGCTGGAAACAGATGCTAGCGGAAGAAAATAGTGCAGAGAGTTGGCTCAGAAGATGTTTGGAGCACCGTCACTAGAGCAGTCCGGAACAGAAGAAGCGGCGAGAGGTGTGTTGAAGATGGAGGTCGTTGTAAGGATGAAAAAGAATAGTGTCCGGTACCCAGTAAGCCCCCAGGAAGTGGTAGCCATCGTGGGAAGGGGGCCTGACTGGTCCATTACCATCCCACCGAGTGGCCTGTGGTTGCCCGAATCCTCTCCTCTTCCCCATATTGGTTTCTGACACGCGTGCCTGCAGCTTTTGTGCCTCCGGCTAAAAATGCCACGCTGGGACTGGAGGCCGCGTGGGGAGGAAGGAAGGCAGGGGAGAAACAGGGAGGAAGGGGGGTCAGGGAGCCACGTGGCTAGGGGCTGAGGAGTTACCTTTCTGACCTAAGCTACGGATGGGCCGCTGACATCAGATACACCTGACTGGTCTCGTTCGACCTGTTACGTACACATCAGGCCTTGAGTGTTCAGTGGTCAAAGAAGATTGACATGGATTCTGCCTTCATGGAATTGAGGTTCCACTCATACACTTTCCGGCCTCCCTTCTTTCTCTGTGACCTGAGGCAGTCTCTCAAGATTTAGTGTCCTCGTCTGTACATACAGGTTAACAAGTGTACGTAGCCCGAAGCATACTTGTTAGGGCTAAGCGAGTTAACGGGCCTGAACCGTCAACACCGTGACTGGCACGTAGTGAGTACTTCAGTCTTCGTGTAAGGTGAACTGCCCGGTTCCTACTTTGGGTGTGAGGAATTGCTGTACATTTGCTTTAGTTAAAGTAGAGGGTCCTTGTTTTGAAAAGCCATTCACTGATTAATTGGGATGTGCCGTGTACTCTCGCTGTCAGGCACCGTGCTGAGGGCCAGAGACACAGAGGTGAGTAAAGCTGAGTCCTGGGGGGCATGTGACTCTTGATCTCTGGGTTGTAAGTTCAAGCCCCATGTGAGGTGGGGCAAGTACTCAAAATCTTTAAAAAAAAAAAAAAAAATTAAAAAAAGCCGAGTCCTGCCCAAAATGGGAGGGATCACTTCTGGTGACGTGGACACAGAGGAAACAATGTTAATACTGGGCACTAAGTGCTGAGACAGAAACAGACGGGTATTCACGGGCACACACAGTGGAGGCAGCCATCCACGTTCGGGGGTGTGGGTTAGGGGAAGCGGAGAGTGTGGCTGGGAAGGTGGGAGCAGGGACGCTTCACTTGAGACTTAAAGAATGAGCCGGAGGGGCGCCCGGGTGGCTCAGTCAGCTAAGTAGCCAGCTGTCTTGATTTCGGCTCAGGTCATGGTCTCCCAGTTTCATGGGTTCAAACCCTGAGTTGGGTTACTGTGCACTGACCGCACAGAGCCTGCTGGGATTCTCCCTCTCTCTCTGCCCCTCCCCTGCTCCCGCTCTCTCTGTCTCTCTCAAAATAGATAAATAAACTTGAAAAAAAAAAAAAAAAAAGAATGAGCTGGAGTTATGTGTGAATGGAAGAAAGTAAGGGTCCCCTAAGCCTTTTCTCCACCTTGAGTGTGTCCATTTACGTTACAGTCTTCTCCGAGCACTTGCTGGATTGGCCTGGTCAGAAAGAGGCACCTAATGGAACCGAGGAAAAAAGACTGAAAGGATCAGGAGGCTCATGGAGGCTTGGTCACCTCAGTCGGGAACGTTTAAAAGTGCTGAAGCTTCCTCCGTGAGCATCAGTATTAGTTGTCACTTAGGGCACCACTTGATGGAGAGGTTGTGATTAAAAAACAGTGACAATAACTTTATTAAACTCCCTCAACTATGAGTTGCTTTATTCATTAACTTCATGATTTTAATAAGTGATGCGCACCTCTTGACCTAAGGAGTATAATGCATGCATGTTAAATATAAAAACATAGAAATTTGAAATGATGAGAAACACATAAATAGCATTTTGAATTCACTTTCTCCCACCCTGGACACGTGTCAATATATGTCATTCTGAACAGCCTCGGGGTGCGGCCACTTCACACTGGGCAAGCCGTGACACTCGTCATTTTTCTTGGCCTTTGGTAGCATCCTCTTGTGCGCCCTGATCATTACTCAGCTGACGCTTCAGGGGATGGTCGGCAGATCTCGGGACTTCTCCGTGACCCTCTCCTGTTTGGCATTCCAACCTCTAAACTCGTTAACTGGGCTCCTGGGACTCCCAGTACCATCTCCACCTCAGGGAGTCGGCTGGGCTCCACCCGGCTTCCCCCTCCGTCCTGCCACGTCCTGCCACAGCCACAGCCGGGGAACTTTCTCCAGGCAATAGGCTGGAGTGATTAAACCATTAAACGGCTTGCCTTGTTTTTATCTCCCATGGATCATTGTCCTTCATTGCCTTGAGGATCGTTGTTTCTTATATTTTGTGTAGCTTTTTTTTTTAACTCTTTAGAAGTTTATAATAGTGTATGAATTTACTAGTTTTCACAATCACTGAAGAAACTCACGTTAGCAATAATAAATACAGATCAATACTTAAGCTGACACAAAACTTCAACATATAAAGTTCATAAGAATTTCTTACCACAGTTGTGTTAGGATCCCTACCTATGTTATAAACTGAATGTAAAACTATTAACACTAAGTACAGGGGAAATTTTCTGATGAGATTTGAGACTGCCTGCAAGATTACTTGATCAACAATCACATAATTTCAGAGAGGGCCCAAACTGTCAGAATAGGTATTTGCTTCTGGCTTTTTGAAGGTGAAGGTTGAATCAAAGGCAAATAGAAAATAACGAATATGAGACTACAACTGCAGTTTGGAACATACCACACACATGCACACGCACGTATCCACCACACTTATGTACCCTGTCGTCTCCTGGATGGAGTGGCCCATGCAACGGAGCTCTCTGTACGCTATTAGGTAGGTATTTATAGATGGACAGACAGACGGTCCTAGTTTCCTTTTTTAGTCATTGAATTTTGCTTTTTTAAATGAAACTATATGTATGCATAGTTTCATAACTCCAGCGAAGGTCAACAAAACTTGATGAGTAAAACTGCAGCTGCACAACACCGAACAAAGCAACTGGCTCAATCCTACACGGCTCCTTTTCTCTTGTTTTTGTGTCTTCTGTCAACAGTTTCAGCTGGGCCCATGTACCAAAGGGGATGCAGGATCTAAGCAACATGTACCAGCAGGAGCCATGAGAGTACGTATGGAACTGAGCCCTCAGGGTGCTGGGTGAGAAGCAGTTTGCGTTCATGTAGGACTCCACTCCCCCATCATTATAGTCTGAGGAGACCTAGGCCATGGGAACATTTCGAGGAACACCCTACTAACCTACTATACTTACGGCATCATACTCATTAGGCCAGAGAAACAATGAGCCAGTATATTGTACTCCGAATAATCACTAATACCATCCAGCAACCTGTTCCATCAGTGAAATTTTTAGGGCTACTGGTCTGCTTGAATGCCAAGATTGCTCCTTCGCGGTAAAGAACAGATTTTTCCATCTCACCCACTCATCAGTGTTCCTCCGTCAAGGAAGCACGCCAACCTCTGTATGCTCCTTTGTGGGAATTCGGGACTTGGGAATACTGCTCTGACTCCTATCCTGGATGATATAGAAGGCTGCCAGTTTTCAGTGGGATCCACAGCACATAAAGTCCCTGTAGCAGGTACAGGTTGCAGTGTAATTAGCTTTGTTTCATGGACCATTCAATCCAGGAGATTCTATGGTACAAGAGTATCTGTGATAAGCAAAGCAGCCATGGAAGTTTAGGACAAGCTCCAATGGGAAAATCACGAGGTAGTCTCAAGTGGATGTCTGTAGCAAGGCCAGATGGTATGCAGCAGAGAGCCAGGCGTCATCCAAAAATGGCTCCTGGCATGCTAATGGGCGTTGGTAGAATCTGAGCATCTTCTGGAACTTCGGGTAACCATGTAGCCAGAGTTGCCCATCATGAGCTGAGTTTTGTCAGACCCTTCAAGTCAAACCATCATAAGGTGGAAGTGGTACATCTGGGATGGATGGCGAGTGCCAGAGGAAACGAATAGGTGCACAGGTAGGTGGCCCAGACTCCTGTGTCATATTTATAATTTTTGCATCAATGCCCTTCCCTTGGCCCACAATCATGGCCACTTGAGAAGCCCTTTTGTCTTGCTGATAAAGGATGCAAATGCAGAGCTAAGTTCATTGATGGGCTTTCTTGGAATACAGGTTCAAAACCAAAATAAACTGCTGCTACCCTACAGCCCTACTCAGGAGTGGTCTTAAAAGACAGCAGGGAAGGGTATCTTCCCACAAGGCAGAACTGGGGGCAATATTCCTGGTCATCCACCTCGTATGGAAAGAGAAGTTGCCTGAAGTAAGAATATACCTTCATGGCAAGTGGCACATAGGTTAGCAAATTGATCAGGGGCCTGGAGTAGGAAAGATTAGTTCAGGGACAATGAAGCCTGGAGAAGAGGTGGTGGGGAATCTATGGGATTGGATACATGAGTAAAGAGCTTTGTGTTGCATAAGTGCCTACCGGAGACATGCACATCAAAGAGGAACTCAACAAGTAAACAAAAGACTTGGCTGGTTAATTTTAGCAGCGGTCGTCATGAGCTACCCCAGTAGCATAAAGAGCTTATGAATAACATGTTGCAGAGATGCAGGTTAGCAAGTTGCCAACAGCATGGCTTCTACTCACCAAAGAGCCTAGTATTCAGCGCTGAGCCCTTGGTTCAACACCATCCCTCAAGAAAACCAAGCAGCTAATTGGTGGTAAATGGGTTACATTGGGCTTCTGTCATGGAAGGGCAGTGATTCACCTTGACTAGAATCTTCCTATGTGCATCCATGAGTTTACCTTTCCTGCCCACAAGATGTTGGCCAGTGCTGCTATCCAAAGGTTTACAGTGTTCGATCCATCAATATGTCTCCTGCATAATATTGCCTCTGAACAGCAAAGGAAGTGTTTGAGTGGGCACATGACCAGGTGATTCACTGATCCTATCACATACTATACAACCAGGAAAATGCTGGCCTGGTGGAGTGGTGGAAAAACCTTTTGAAACCAAGTCAAAGCTTGAAGATAATGCCCTATGAATGGGATCCCATTCACCAGGATGCAGTATACACTCTAAATCCATACCTATTACATAATGAGTGCCATGTCCCATTCAGATAGAAAATCCACAGCTAGGAATTAAAGGGTAGAAATAGAATTTCCACTGTGGCGGGCTAAACAATGTCCCCCAGATATGTCCATGTCCTAATACCCAGAACCAGTAAATATATTATCTTAACATGATAAAAGGGACTTTACAGGTGTGATTAAGTTAATCTCAAGATGAGGAAAGTATCCTGGTTTATCCATGTTGGCCTGATATAATCTCAGGGGCTCTTATAAGAGGGAGGCAATACAAGTAGGACGTAGGACGTGTGATGACAAAAGCAGGACAGAGTAACATAAGGAAGAGGCCACGAGCCAAGGAATGTTGGAGGCCTCTGGAAACTGAAAAAGGCAGGGAAATGGATTCTCCCCCAGAATGCTTCAGGAGGAACAGAGTGGTTGATACCTTGATTCTAGACTTCTGACCTCCATAACTATGAGAAGAAATTTATGTTGCTGTAAATCACTAAGTTTGTGGTAATTTGTTATAGCAGCAATAGGAAGTTAATACACCCACTTACTGTCCCCACTGCCCCCCGTCTCCCCCCGGGAGTTCATGCCTCCCGTCTCCACAACTTTGTGAGACTAGAGGGCTGATCCCTAATTGGGAAGCTCTTTCATCAGGAGATACAATAACAGACCCTTTACACTTTAACCTACTGAGATTTCCCAGGCATGTCAGGCTCCTTGTGCTGAGAGACCAGCAGGCAAGCAAGGAAGAGTCACCACTCCGGTTGGGGATAAGTGAATCTGATCATCAGGAGGAAGGAGGGTTATTGTCACACAGTGAGGGCAGGAAGGAGTATATTTCACGCTTACCCCACCCACTAGGGCATCTCTTGGTACTTCCCTACCTAGTAGCAAGAGTAAAATGAGTGGCTTCCAAAATGACACAGTAAGGACCTCTGAAAACTGGCTTCTCCATAAAATTAATGAGAAGACTGGCACAAATTGTCAAAATCAACTTTTCTTTTTAGAACTTTAGAAACTAAAAGCTTACAGCAATCTGAAGATCATTTATTTTTAAAACTGACAAACTTTGATTAAAAAGGGAAGCTCTAGCATTCTAAAGTGTCCAATTCCCACTCTCTCCCTCCACCCCCCCACCCCACCCCCACTAATACAAGTTAAATTGTTCTTAACTGTAGGGAGGATGCTCCCAGTGTGATTCCCCGTGAAGTGATATGCAGCCTTTGTTAGAAACATTATATTGCCGGGTTTTTATCCTTTCCCACTGCACTGTAGTATCAGTTTTATCATAACTCAGGTGACCGTACATGTGGGGATTGTTACTAGACTTTTTTGTTCCATGTTCACTCTATCCAAGCACCAATACTATCTTGTTTAAGTTGCTATAGCTTTACAATAGGTCCTGATATCTGATCTAGAAGTCCTTCAACTTTGTTCTTTTAATATTGCCATAGTTATTCTTTTTTTTTTTTTTTTTAATTTTTTTAATGTTTATTTTTGAAAGGGAGAGAGAGAGAGAGACAGCACAAACAGAGGAGGGGCAGAGAGAGAGGGAGACACA